CACGTTCGAATGCATTCTTGAGATGATTCTTCCGGGATATTGCGCAACACCGTCGTCCCAGGTCTACATGATGAGTCCCTTGAGTTCGGGGAAGAGGCAAATCGCCTTGAAAGCAAATTAAACTTGTTATGGAAAATCACTACCGGTGATATTTGAATATGATCAGGAGACCAAACACGGGGGCCTTCAATGACTGTGTCCAACGTAGCAAAGATCGAAGAAAGTACAACAGCTGAGTTCTAAAGTCATAGTCCTGTTGATCACATTCCATGGGAGTTCGTGCTACAGGGCCAGCAATCGAGCAACATGACTAGAAAGGCATACTGCGATGTTGCCCTCGTTCAGTGCGTGAGAAGAGACGAGAATTGTGGGAGGATAACTCGTGGTTGTCTCGCCATAACAACGCGTATGCTCACAACGCACTGAGCACCGAAGATTTTTGACAGAGAAGATCGCCTTGCTGGAGCAACTTTTTACTCACTCGACCTGTCTCCGTGTGATTTTCTCCTGTCCCCAAACTCAAGGGGGTCATCAAGAAGGTCCGTTTCGGAGAGGTGAACTACATCAAAAAGGCCGTGAGGACAGAGCTGCGGAAGATGCCGGAAGAACCCTTCCAAGAGTGAGAACAAGCGAGGCAGAGAAGGATGGGAAAGTGCATTAGACTCAGGAGAGGTTATTTTGTAAGTGGAAACATATAGTACAAAGTTTGAGTCTGCAATAAATCTTTTGAGATGCCATTCCTGGAACTGTTCTGACATATGCAGGCCAATGGTGCAGACGTCAAATACCAGCATGACAAAACAGCGATAAAGTAAATACTGACTCGTACTTGTGTTTTGCTCTTGTTGAGCGGAATATCCTGAAGACTGAATCATTCTGCGCGGTCGTGAATGTATTTGTAAATCGTTTCAAAGTAAAACAGTTGATTAATCGACGGATTACCAGGTAGGATGTTTAGTGCCATATGGACGCGGCTAAACAGTATAAACAAAGTATGTGAGCGTACCGTGGTTGAATAAATAAACGTTTGAGGCCTCAATCAGTCAAAAGAAATTCGTTCGCACGCCCTAAACGATAGTAGCACCTCGCTGCACGACAGGGTCCGTACATGTCTTCTAATCCAAACCGTGACATCTAGTCTGACATTCGAAGCCTCTCCCTTTAAGTTACTGAGTTGATACGGGGAATGTTTGTTATATCGGTTAACGATTCGATGAAGAGCCATTGTGAAGCACGAGTTATGTGGATGGATTGCGCGATACACAGTTTCAATCTGGACACGGAAGCACTAAGAAACACTTTCGTCAAATCGGTCACCAAGACTGCAACCAAAGCAGATGGATTTTGGATGTTGCCCGCTCGTAGAAGTGCACTCCAGGATCTGTTGCGCACCTGTTCACAGTAATCGGACACAGAAATAGAAGAACTGCGACTCGAACGCTGGATTCTTGGGGTATTGGCTGCAACAACTAACCCACCGGATCAAGACGGGCAAAGCGTAGCCCAACGGTTCATGAATCATTGAAGCACTAGTCGTGTGACTGAGTTGCGACACGTAATCGCAATCAGGACCGCGATTCACTCTGAAGTGAATTTCGTACATTTCGAGCACAAGGACTGTAAGCCTGAAAAAGACAAATGTGTCCCAGTGACAAAAGCGCCCGTATTACCTCGAGGGAATACATTAGTAAACTAGATTCTTACAAGTCCAAAACCGTGAAAGAAGACCCAAAGAAACTGTCTATAGCGTTCTAGAACAGGATGATCACGACAACCACCTAGCGCTCGATAACAACCGGGCGCGATTAAGAAAAGCTCGGAAAAACACTATACATTATTGGGTGACTTGGAAACAGCGACGAATCGTGGCAGCAAGCAAGGTGTGCAACAGGCTGTACAATCAACATGGAGGGACTAAAGTCCTGGACCGGTCAAGAAAGCATAAGTTACGATCACTAAGAGTCCAAGGTGTACAGGAGATATAATATATCCCGAGACGATAAAGACAACAAAAAAGACAGAAAAAAGTTGCCAAAGACGAATGTCGAGTAAAAAAGGATAAAAGGTTAAACAGTCAATGAAAAGACAGAAGTTGGAGCTCAGAATGAGATCACACGCAGGTCAGTACAACAGAATTATCTGGTGTAGGAATGGACCCTGCGACATTAGCCGACGCACGATGGCTAAACTTCTCGAGCTAATCTAACGCGCTGAGGCCTCAATCAGAAGACGCATACCGAACCTTTTCCTGTCTCTATTGCTATCTCGCAAACTGACTGAGTAGGAAAAGAAAAAAGGGAGCCAAGTCCGGGAACTAAAGCAGAGTAGTCAGAACATAATAGGCCAAGGTGTGGGATACGATGAACAGAAGCACGTCAAGGTCGCACGGTGGTATCAGGTCTCTAGAGGAATAAAGGACTGAAAATATATGTCGCAGGGAGACAGCTAGAGAAGGGACTAAGCAGATGGCGTCGTTCGATCATAGGAGGTGACCGGTATAGGCAACGCTAGACAGTCGGATATTGCTGCTAGATCCGTCATGAACAACATAAACAACATTGCACAACGAACCACTCTGTTTTCGCTGGCTGCCGAAGTTAGATAGTGGGAAGAACAAGTGAGGGTCAAAATCGAGAAGAATTTCTCGTTTGAACCTACATAAGTCTGTGATCCGCGAGCAGAAAGTGATAAACGAAGTTAGAGCAACAGAAGCGTATCACTGTAAAGCATAGTTTGTCCATACAGAGAACGCGGGTATGCTCTAGATAGTTCAATGAGAAAAGATCTAACAACGGCAACGGTGCTAAAAACCCTGCCAAAATTGGGAAAGGAATCGCCGACGGGAGAATGGAACAAAGTCAATGAGTATTAGGACAGGATTGTGGCGGCAAGTGTAGCCTGTAATTGCTGGATAAATGGTAAAAGTAGAATAATGTTATGGCAAGAGATGAAGGTGTGTGAGATCAGCGGCAGATGAAACAGAAATAGACACGCGAGAGAACTGATGCAATTCGGAGAAACAGTTCCAAATGAGAACCAAGGAAGTGTATAATGGCGGGGATAGGTATACAAACGGGTATAGCGATCCAGCATGATTGGGAATGGCATCAGGCACTCATGACACCATAACTCTCAAGGGAAAACGGTCACAATATAGTTAGAGGACTCCGGAAATGTGTGTAGTAATGAGGTGCAATCACAAACCGGGGATGGAACGACGTTTTAGAAACGACATGGAAAAGCAAGATGAAGTAATGATAAGCACTGACAAACTGGCCCAAAAGTGGGTGAAATCCGAGAAAGCAGGAGGACGTAAAAAATGGGACGATAAAGCTGCGAGCGAACCCAGGTTTAGTATTCCAATTACGAAGTAACGAGGAAATAACTTTCAGATGGTTCCAGAAAATTGGGAGACACTGTTCGCTTTTAAGAAACTACTTTGATGAATTGAAACACATAATAAGAGGACGCAAAGGCCTCAAGCCTGACAAGCTTTTGAAAAGTAGTCCATTGGTAAAAAGTTTCGATATGCGATGTACTGACTACGACCGTGACGCATTTACCGTGTGTCAGAAACAATTCCACTCTCAGGGGTCACCGGGGACAATCTAATTAGAGAAGAAAAGTTTAGTAGGTTTTCTGGATACCGAAGGAGGAGAGCAACGATCCAAACAATGGAAATCAAATTATCATCAGCCAGAAGGATAAACAAAGCACCAGAATTTGGAACGGTGCAGCAGAACATAACAGATAGGATTCATGTGTATGAAAGCACATTCGCAAAAGTAACAGTAGGTTGGCTCATGGGTCCTGAGAGAGAAATCGCCAAGCCGAAGCAGGCTCCCACTAGAATATCCGGCGGTACATAGATACCGGAGTAAACATAATTGTCAACGAAAGCCCCCGTTTTCGTGGACAAAACTGGTAACATTCGGAAATTTGTGAGAAGAAAGATTGGAGGACTGCGGGCATCTGGCCGAAAAGTCCAACCCCAGTGGAGAGATAATTTTCCGTCCCGAGGGGGCGAGTTTCGATTAAAAAGACCCAGACAATCGCGCCCCCCTGCCGTACCGACCTACCCGCCCAGCGCTCCCCCCAGTTCAATCGCCCCCGCCCAACCCCAATCCCGCCAACGGTCCCCCAACGCTATGCTCCAATCCCACCATAACGAAACTCTCTAAAGGTATCAACCAAACCACCGCTTGTTCATTCCTTGACCTGAGTGAGCAGCGTCCACATGACCCCGCAACATATGGCACTTATGGGGCACAACGCACTACGATGCGCACCAGTTTACCAACTCAGCTCCCAATAACAGAGTACAGTATATATAAATGTGCCCTTCGTTTCCAAAATAGATAATCTGAAAGAACAAAAAGGAGCAAATTTAGTGCACCAGGGGTGCGAACCCCATAGACACCCAAGAACCGACTTGATCCGACTGGAGCTACAAGGAATACACCAAATGCACACATATTGAACGATAAGGAGGAACCATGGCTTGTGACCTCAAAGCGAAAAGTAGGCGGCTGCATTGGAGAGAGTGGAACCGCCGGAATCAATGCCAAACGCCTATGTGGACTAACTGACACCGACCACGGAAAATGTCATAACGGAAGAAAACACAGTCGACAAGAAGTAGCAATATTAAGTGGTCGCTGGAGACATGCGACTATAATCAGATGGTCCCAGGTACAGATCGGTAACATTAAAGTTTGCTTTGTATTCAAGTACGATCCCCAGTTACTGAACTGAATCGCATAAAGCTGCGGCAGCAAATCAAGACTGTGTGGACGAAATCAATTCTACACAACGAGTGGTTCAAATGTAACGCAACGAGTTGCTTCTACATGTGCATTGGGTAATTGGACCACAAATCAATGACTAGGCTCAGTTCGGATTACTGGAAAAGTTAGAAAGATTAATGGAGGCCATATGCATCCTCTTCAAGGAGAAAAGAGATAAAGGTATGTGGAAAAAAAATAAATGAAATAACGTACTTCCGTCCACATCGGTCAATTCCTCGGACACCGCAGTGTTTCGAGTTAACGGACGAATACAATAGTTTAATGAGTTTGACAGCATCAGAATGAATCCGGACGGTGGCAATTAGCTCTTTTGACCATTCCGCAGACCCAATTAAAGTTGTAGTATGAGCGGGTCGGGGCGATCCTTTGTCAACCACCTCGCTAAAGATTAAAAACTGGGGAAGATAGGTGAAATTTCTCAATAGTTAAGGGAATAACGAAGAAGCAGAAATAGTATGAGAAAGCATAATCTAAGTAGTAACTAAACAAATCGAGTTCATAATCTGTTCACAAATATTTAATACAAAAACTGAGCGTAACCGAAACCCGATAGGCCACATGATCGCACACTGTGCTGTCCGATCAGGTTGACACCTTATTTGTGGAGCTAGCAGAAGCAACGCTTTGAATGAAGTCCAGCACTAAACTGCATACCAACGTTTTCCACGTCCAGCCGAATCACTTAAATATCAAGAATGAGTTGAATTTTGTGAAACGATTTTAGAGTGAGTGCTCCTCAGAATGTAAACATCAGTCATTCAAAGACGAAGCAACGGATCGAACGTACTGGATATTTCACTGTGACAATCACTATGCAGAGCAGCAGCTGACAGTGAACACATGATTGCAAACAAGGGGATAATGATCGGAAGCGTCCAAGAGGGCATTGAAAATGGTACCAACTAGCAAATCCGAATAATAATCGAAAAGACGGCATAGATGAAAAACATTTGTGGAACGACAGTCACGAAAATTGTCATGATACAGAGGTAAGGGCATGAAAGATAAGGAAAGGGATAATTCCGCAGGGGCACAAAAAGAGCAACGAATTTCATATTATCAGAGGAGCAGATAATTATTAAACAACCCTCGCCGAACAACATCATTACTAGGACATATTGCGAATAGAAAGCAATTAAAAGAGAACAAAAAACGCCATATACCGGAGAAAGTAAACCCCAAAATATAAGTTCAGAATTTCAACTGATGCTGGTTTTGTATAAATTACAAACTGGCTTTCCATAAAAAACGCTGTCCCTTCTCCGGCAAGTCAAGCAAACACGGTCCAGCTACCAACATCTAGCCAGGAGGAGAATAAAACGTGCTCAAAGAGTGAGCGAGAAAGGGGATGCACTGACAGATTCGGCAGTGATGAAGCTGAAAACAGGGCTGAACAACAACTGTCACATCTTGTAAAAGATGCTCGATAGAGAAACTAAGCCTCGGAGGAATGTAATAGCAAAAAAAGGTGATTGCAAGTAATACGAATGTAAAAATCTCCCGACACACAACCAACAACATCTGTGGACAAATCACACCATGTCTAGCGGGGAAGATTAGCACAACGCTGGCTACAGGAGAATGTTCACCTTTCGGGTGTGCTTTGAGGAATGGCCAAAAATGAATCCCCTGACTAATCAAAACTTGTCAGCTTCCAGGCTCATCATATGTTGTGATGGCATAGCAGGTAGGCAGTTTGTATTGCAGATATAACAACTACAGCGCCTTGTTGCAGAACTCAGTCCTTCAAGGACAAAGATTCATTTCAGCAAGACAACTTCATCGAAAATTACAGCAGGTTTGGTAAGCCATACTACTCGTTATAAGTACCGCGATTCACGAACATAACAACGACCCTATTTGAAACACAATGAGGTAGTTCCTTTAACTCCGTTAAACAAACGATGAGTAACTCATATGTATTTCCGATCCAATCCATGTCTAGCCAATCAAACAGCTACACCCGTGTGCTCATGGCTATCCAGGCTCGCTCGGTTGGCCATTCGTTTCACTTATGGTAAGGCACGCCCATCACACGCCCCCGCACCAGATCGTATCAACAAAAACATTGGTAGGTAAACTACTCCTTTATTATGGCAACATTTCGCTCTTGAACGCAAGAGCATCTTCAGGCAGGTAATCGTACACAATTGTCCTAGCCTTTATATTGAATTAAGGTGAGGATTGCAAGGAAAAAACATTACCATCAGATAATAGTGTTACAGTAGTTAGGTCAAGTGGTCCTTCTAATGAAACAAGCATCGTAGTGTCGTTTTTTCTCATTGAACCACTTCACCTGTCTTTCACGAATTGAGGCATTTTCTTATTTACAGTTGCCTGATTCCCGTATTCGACCTGAGTTCGTCCGCTGTATCACCTTTTCTGACTGGACAGGGTTAACAAAGCTGCCACGCGTTCGACAACTCCACCCCTCCGTTCTGTTCACACAGTTATTAGTCTTAGTAATTCTATCGCCTTCAGCAATCAACATTTGGCTTGTTGCTGGTAATCCTTACTACATCATCATCATTACACGTTAGCTGGAGGTGGAAAACACTCAGCTATTGTGCCGCAATACAAAAGGCAAGAAAAGAAAAACAAACAAACAGTGGCACGCCCGCTGAGTCCCCAGTAACGGATGGACATCGTTCCGGAGAGCTAACAGCTGGCTGCCGTAAAAGAGAGTCATATTATGCCTAACAATGAGATCGTGATTGGAGGGGGATGCTAAACAGGAGGGGGGATGGACAAAGGAACTCACAACACAAACGCCATTGGGGCCGGGCTCCTAGCCATATCAGCAAGTGTGTCCAGCCAAACGTGTTCACCGTCATTAGGACCCCCAACCAGGCAGTCGGGATGCAACCAACCGACGCCAACTTCGAAGTGAGGGTTTTCATTTCTCGCGACCAAGTCATCACTTGGCCTCCCCTCCTCCTCTTCCAACCGCACCCACAACGGCGCAAAACAATGCACGTCGTGGGAGTCGGTGTGTTGGCATGCGCAACACGTGGCCCAACCATCGGAGCCAGATGCGTGATTTAATGTAGCTGAGCGGTTCACTCGCTCTTCCTGCACCAAATACGCGATGCGAACACGCTCATTGCTCCGAAGTTGCAGCGAAGCAGCTGCTCATCGCAAATCTGGTCTTTACACGACGCCAATCAGTCGGAGCCAACTTTCAAAAAGTGGGACTATAGACGGAGCGGCTCCAAATCGGTCGGGACAGTTTCCTGCTCCCATACAGAAGTTCCATTAGCAACTAGAACGATGTGCAAATTCTCATCTCACCAGAGCAGGTCACCCTGAAAGTTGTATAGGAGCTGAGGGGAATACTAGTTTGCCCCAGCCGACCATAGGCAATTTCAACGGTCTGATACTCACCTTTCGGACTTATGCTGAGCATGAGGGTGGATCAAAGGAGACGGCTCATGGACGAAGGGCACTCGAATGCGGTCTCGCAAGAGAAAGCGATAACTCAGATTGGTTACACTACCTAGCAAAGTGTTTCGGCAGAACGCTCCAAGCGTCAAGACAAGCTGTGGAATCCCGTTGCTACTCTCGTCATAAATTATCTCACTAACACCAAGGTCTCTCTTGCAGTCCGTTTTCCATAATCAAACGGAAATAACTTACGATGGTACCAACGACTGCGTCAAATTTCATTTCCGATCCATGATGAGACCACCAGAATACACAGTCCTCTCCTCATGATAGCACACAATTTAGCCCGATGAATTTGCAACCTTATCGTCTTCGCTTCCATCCGGAATAATACGTCGGGTAGCATACATATCTTCCAGAGAATATAGATAGTACACCCGATGTCTCATGATGGCAATTTGAATTACCATATGAAGACATTCCTGCAGATAGTAACATGTGAACGGATATGCGACCATGAACTTCGCCGGTTGTTAAGTGGACGCTTACTTAGCCCCATGATGCCAGCGTAGTTATTGATACTCATTCAGAACACCTACCTTCCCCAGCTGGCTGGTAGTCAATGCGTTCAGAGCGACCGATTCTAAGGTCCGCCAAGACGCACCCGCAGTTAGTCACACACAAGAGCTAGGATCGGATCCACGCTCGGGCTAACAAAAAATCGAGTGACATTTTTGGAAACAGCCTCTCCAGCGGTAACTAATGCGATTGATTGGTGGTAGAAAAATTGGGACCATGGCTGGTGGGGTGCTGTAACGCTTCTTGTTGGTGCTCGTAAGAAAGAGACGAGCATCTTTACACAGTGAATCAACCGCTTACCGTAATCATTACTAGAGCCAACACCATGTGCCGCCCAGATAGAAGCTCAACAGACGACAATGAACCGACATAGCGCGGTTAGATCACCAGCAAGTACCACAGTATCCTTCAAGATATCTGTAACGAAAAACAACATTAAGTTGTTTATAGAAATCATCTTCACCGAATAAGGTGCTGCAGTAAGAAAGGGTGTAGGCTCGCAATGACAAACATTCACCATTTGGTCCCCGCCGACTTCGAAGCCTGGAATCGAGTCATCCAACCAAACGGCACACATCCGGCTGTTGACAGAGATCCAGACGATAATCGCCGCTTCAGCTCGGTGACTCAAACACTGCCGACGCCAAGCTTTGACCTCATTTGAAACTGCGTCATTTGCCAGACAGGCGTAAAGAGAAATGGGTCGTCAGTGTCGTGCATGTTGGGGGATTAACAGAATACGCCCCATGGAGCGGCGAAACTGGCAGGTGGGTTTCCGAAAAACACAAACATCCGATCGAGAGGGTCTCGAATGTTCGATGCAAAGTGCAGCCCTGCAGGCCAATTCTATAGCAAAAGTGCACTTTGAGTGCATGCCAGTCTTAGCGAAGGTTCAGGACACCAAAGGAAAATGGTTGAACTGACGTTTACCGCTGATTGAACATGGACATGTCCGACAGGACTAATAACGAGGCACTGCGATAGATGTTAGATTGAACTAGAAGACAAGCTGCCTATGAAGCAAATGAGGAGGAGGGTGCCAAGAATTTGGGGGACTGAAAAAAAAATAGTGTGTGTTGTGTAGGTGTGAGGGGGGATGAAAGTGAATCTGGAAAGGCACGATAATGGTGAAAAAGCGCAAGAGGGGGAATAGGAACACGGGAAGGCTTGATCAGTAGCATCCAAACTCATATCCACCCTGCTCGATGCAGCAGATCATTTGATTTAAAATTATTTAAATTTAATTATTTATTTTATTGTAATATTATTAATCCTCATTTATTATTATTTATGTTCCATAAATTATCCTCATGTTAAAGGACAGAGCATCAAGAGATTGTTTATAAGGAAAGAGTATACTGTATTGCGTGGGCATGCTACTGTCAGGTTGCCCATGCCAAGAGAGTGAAACGATTAGG